GAATTCTTTCCTAATAAAAATTTTTACAACAGTTTTCCTAAGGAAATACATTCATAAGGCACTGTGTACATCCTGCTTTATAGCGACAAGGACAGCTAGGAATCTCATTTATGAAATGTACCCACAGAAATAGGGTGTTAACACTGGGTCCACAGGCGGAGTTGTCTCTCGATCACTGAAATGTGGAGTTTGGGGTTCTGTGAGGTTTCATGTCTGGAACTTCCGTTCCATTATGGCTGTGCTTAGACTGTGCAGCTCAGCAAACAACATCTGCCCACGCCCCGCAGAAACACAGGGATTTGTCCAATGGATTCACCCCCTGGCAGTTCAGTGGGTTGAGGAGGATGTCCAGGAACTGCCCTGGAGCTGTTTACCCCACTCACCTCTGGGCGATGCCCCTGAATTGAGAGCCGACGCCTGGGAAGCCGTGAGCCAGGTGAAGGAGTTGGGACGTGGGAGGAAGCGAAATGATCGTCCCTGGGTAATTCGGCATCTGGCAGCTTGGTAACTGGTCCTGAATCTGCTGAGCTGACGGTCTGACCCCAGGCTGTTCCCTTCGTTCCGCACTGCAGTTCCACTCACCTGTCAAGTCAGGCAGGTAGACCAGATACCCCGAAGTAATAGTCTATATATACCTCTGCCAATGGCACTTTTTCAAGTAAATACTCACGTGTCTTTAAAGGCGATACACCCTTACTTGCAGAAAGTGTTTGTTGGATAATCGCTTCTCCGTTAGTTCAGAAATACCATCTTCACTGTGCTCATCTGTTAATGTGTTTCTCTCCATTTCTCTCTTGAAAAAGGAAGGTAATAGTACACAATGACAATGCTTTTAATTTACAGAGATGATTGGTTAAAGCTTCAAGATATTTATTTTGAATATTTACCAATATGTTAAGCACTCTACCATGTAGCATCTTCCTTTCCCCTCAAATCGCTGAGAATTCATAAGGGTAAAGGCAAATTTTTCACTTGGGCATAGAGCTGCAAGTACTACGGCTTCATGAAAAAACATTGTCTAAAATGTATAGGCAGCAGATCATGATACTGTGAAATAATGATTACAAATAGCTAACATTTATTGAGTATTTAGTTTATATTAGCCACTGTTCTGGGAGAAAATTGTATTAAAACAGTGATTAAGGGTTGTGGGAAATACTACAGAGTTCTTGTAATTGAATGGGGTTATGGGGGTAAGTTTATAATTTTATAAACAGGGATAGAAGGGATTAAGGCTAAGAAAACCCAGCAAATAATAAAGAAGCTACTAAAATTAGAAGATGAATTGACTGCGGAGGAGTAATTATTTGATTTGTAACTTTTTGTTTAATTAACACTTACTAAGTGCCTTCTGGGTAGCAGGCACTATTAGGTAGTTTTGCATCTGCTATTTTATTTAATTACAACGAGTCTTTCACTTCCAGATAGATTTCCCATGGGCTTCCTTTGACTAATGAGTTATCCATCCCGGCCCAGCGCTCCCCAGTCCCGTTTGCTGCTACAATTACCTGGGGAGCCTTGGAAACTCTGGTGCTGGGGTTCGGTCCTCAGAGAGTCTGTTTAATTGTGCAAGGTCGGGACCCAGCAGCAGTACCTTTAAAACTCGCCCTCCCTCCTCTGGGGACTGGGGAGCTAGAAACACTCAGACCATGAGAAAGGCTATTTCACGTACAGAAGCATGTCGACCCGAGCTCTAGGGCCATAAGCAGCTGTTGCAGCCTGGCCGGTGTGGCTCAGTGGTTGAGCGTCTACCTATGAATCAAGAGGTCACGGTTCGGTTCCTGGTCAGGGCACATGGTTGTGCAGGAGGCAGCCAATCAACGATTCTCTCTCATCATTGAGGTTTCTATCTCCCTCTCACTCTGCCTCCTCTCTGAAATCAATAAAAATATATTAAAAAAAAAAAAGCAACTGTTGCAGACTTCAGGAGGGAGTTTGCTGGGTTGGGTGGGCCCGCTTTCCTTGTCTGTGTCCTGTGAGCAGGGATGTGGGAAGTGTAGAATTCTAGAACGAAGTGGGCTAGGAAATGGTGCTCTACAGGTCTCAGGCCCCGAATTTCCAGATGCACTTAATTTGTCGCCTGGGTTTTGCTGTGATATTTATCAGAAACATGTCAGTGACTTGCAATATAAGTGTGTGTTGTATTTTTCCAGAAAGGAGAACTCTATCTGCACTGGAAGTAGTTCCTTTTAATGGAATACACATGCACAGGGTACAGATCTGTGCCTAAAAGGGTTTCATATTTAATAGGACACAGGGAACGACGAAGAATTCTTTGGGTGCAGGGGTTACAGATTGAAATGGCTTCTTTAAAAATCGTCTTTGATGTCGTAGTAAAGTTGTTTCAGATCAAACCATTAAAAAAAACCATGAAGGAAGTAAATGGTTTGGGGAGCTCAACTTTCCTTTGAAAAATTGTTAGAGCCTTAGGTCCCATAGTAGAGAATTAACCTAAAAAAGGATCCATCATCAAAAACATATCCAGTCCCTAAAAAAACTTCCTGGTCATCTTCCTAAACAGATTTGCGTCCCTGGGAACTTTGGGTCCTGCCTGGTGGTCAGATAGAGGACAGCTGCCTTAGACCTGCCAGCACGAGGCACTTCCCCCTAAAATAAACAATGCTTTTGTAAGGGTGACGAGATAGCCTTCCACTGAAGAACGTGACTTCTTAAAAACATTATATCGCATTTGCTGAGAGACCTTAGGCAAGTCCTATCATTCTTTTGGACTTGGGGTTCTTCATTGGTGTAATGAGGGGGTTGTCTGTTTTCAGGGACACAAAGCCCCGGTGTCACCTGGAGAGTGGTGGGGAGAAGTGTTGAGTTGGCATGTCTCTGTGGGCCTTTGCAGGTTCCCTTGGACTCCTCCTGCCTGGCGGGGCAGATTCTAACTTGTCTTTTAGAGCTTAGCTGAGATATCACCTCCCTAGAGAAGTAACTGAAGACCCTTTCCTGTGACCGCCCAATACGTGTAAGCCCCCCCCCCCCCCCCCCCCCCCCCCCCCCCCGTTGTATCTCCGGGGTGGCTGGGATGGTTTCATTCCTGCAATTCTCACCATGGCCATGCGCTCGGTGCATCACAGGTGCTCCTTTGCACAGGTGCAACTTGACTGTGAACTAGTGTCAGTCATTCTACCCCTGAATCACTTTCTGCTCTGAGGGTCGTTCTCGAATGAGTGAGTATCTTCATTTGGCAGCAGGGGCTGCAGGGGCACAGAGAGGAGAACTCGCCAAGGTCACAGAGCTCTGAGAGACCGAGCAGGGGCTGTAGCCCCTGGTGGGAGTCTAAGGAGGAGACAAGATCGGCTCCAGCCTCCGGAGCCATAGTCCAGGCCTCTCTGCCCATGTGGCAGAAGTGAATGGAAGTCACCCTTGGTGGAGACGACCACTTCTCTTCTAGGGCCGTGGTCGGCAAACTGCGGCTCTCGAGCCCCATGCGGCTCTTTGGCCCCTTGAGTGTGGCTCTTCCTAAGCCTTAGGAGTACCCTAATTAAGTTAATAACAATGTACCTACCTATAGAGTTTAAGTTTAAAAAATTTGGCTCTCAAAAGAAATTTCAGTCGTTGTACTGTTGATATTTGGCTCTGTTGACTAATGAGTTTGCCGACCACTGTTCTAGGGGAGCTACACTCTGTCCCCTGGGGCTACCTCTAAGCGATGCCGTGACCAGCTTACTCTTTGTGCTCTTAAAAGAGTTTTGTGAGCGTGAACTGGTGCACTTAATCTCATTTCTAGAACTTTGGCCCCAGGTCCTAAAATTCTTCCTAAGGGAACAACTTCTCCCCATTTTCAATTTTGTAAATGTGGTCAAAGAATCAGAAAGAAAGGAAGAAAAAAAATCCCTCAGAGCAGGAGGAGTCAGGAGAACCGTAACCATGTTTCTGGGCATCTGTGTGCGCGCGTGTGTGCGTGGTGTGCACACACCCACGCAGGGGGGCGGGAGTATTGCACGCATTGGCTTTGATGATGGTTCAATGGGATCCCCACTTTCTCTGGCCACTGAGCAGTTCTGTGATTATTATTTAAAAGGGAATTTTAAACCACAGAAAAGAAAACCGGAAAATAACGTGTTGGGGGCAGAAGCAGCAGAAGTGGTTGCGATGATCCGCCGTGGCATTCTGCCATGACACACAGACAGGCAGGGCCCGAGGTCTTTTGTGAATAAAATGAGGCAGGTTAAGTGGCTTCTGGCAGTTTCAACACCTCATGAAAAGCCAAGAGAGCGCACAAGGCAGCTGAAGATTGCATCCAAGGGAGGGCCACCAAGGTGTCCTGTTTCTCTCCGCTGCAACAGGGAGGGTCTCTAGACACCGCCGGCCTTGCCCCTGACTTCACACTAAATGCCGGAGCGTGGGTTCGAATGGGGTGTTCCCTGTGGTTTCCATGAAAGCACCCTTTGATTCATAAGTTTCTCATCAAAATCTCCCTGGAAGATGGGGGAGTAACAAGGGTGGTGTGATGTGCGGGTTTGTTTTCCTTCCTCTGCCCTGCAGAAGCCCGAACAGGAAGTGATTCAGGGGTAGAATGACTGACACCAGTTCACAGTCAAGTGGAGCTGAGCATGTTGCTGGGACCAAAGGCTGCGGGAGCCCGGAGTCCCAGCATCCTTTAGCTTAGACTCCCGGACCCTCCCTCTGTCCCTGGGGTAAAGCAGTCCAGCCGGACTGTCCCTCAGTCATAGGAGTTTGGTTTGGGCGTTCGCTCTTCACTTGCTGTGCAACCTTTAGCCAGTTACTCAACTTCTCTGAATCTCCAGTGATGTATTTGTAATACCTAAGACTGTTGTGCACATTAAATGAAAAAAAAAATGTTTGGGAATCATGCTCTGTGAACTCTGTGGTCTGAAGTGTTGGAATTCGGAGTTGGTATTTCTCATTTCCCAGCTGTGGTTTTGGTATTGGGAAAAATAATGGTGGCTAGAGGATATACTGGGGCTTATAGTCTGCTGAGGTCTGTTGTGACTTCCTTAATTAATCCTTGCTTTGCCTTCGTTTTGCAGGAGAAGAAACTGAAGCCTGGAGTTTGAGTAATTGGTTCAAGGTTACCAAGTTGGTAAGTAACGGAGCCTTCGCTGACCATGGCCTTTGGGATGCGACCGGTGCCCTTGACCCCTTCACTATGACAAAGAATGAAAGTGGATGGTAATTTTAGCCAGGACGTAGATTTCAGTTCCGTAGAAACGAGAGCTGTCTCTGTTGAAATCTGAATCCGCGTGCGTTCTTTCATCCACTCCGTGAATATTTATCGAGATCCTACAAGGTTATCAGGCCAGGTGATTAATTTCCATAAGAACTGTACCTCTGGAGGGAAGAAGACACGCCCAGCCTCCTGTCATCACTCATCCTCGTAGCTAACATTTATTGAATACTGTTGAAAGCATACCCCGTGCTAAGAGCTTTGTCTGAATTATCTTGTTTAAATTCACAGCAGCCCTAGAAAGTTGAAATAAGAGAAGGAATTTGCCCAAGTTCATTCTACCAGCAAGTGGTTGTCTTAGTCCATTTGGGCCGCTGTTGCAGAATACCACAGACTGGGACCCTGTAAACAACAGAATGTAATTCTCACAGTTCTGGAGGCAGACGAGTCCAGGAATCAGGGTGCTGGCAGATTGGGTGTCTGGCGAAGGCTCTCTTCCTGGTTCATAGATGGCCATCTTTTTATTATAACCTCACAGGGCAGAGGGGCCTGGGGGGCTCCCTCTGGGGTCTCTTTTTAAAAAATATATCTTTTTTATTGATTTCAGAGAGAAAGGGAGAGGGGAGAGAGAGATAGAAACATCAACGATGAGAGAGAATCATTGATCGGCTGCCTCCTGCATGACCCAGGGGGATTGAGCCCGCAACCCAGTCATGTGCCCCTGAGCAGAATCGAACCCAGGACCCTTCCGTCTGCAGGCTGACGCTCCATCCACTGAGCCACACCAGCTAGGGCTCTGGGGTCTCTTTTATAAGGACACTAATCCCATTCATAATGGCTCCACCCTTGTGACCTAATCACCCCCCAAAGTTCCCACCTGCAGAAGCCATCCATTGGGGGTTAGCTTTCCCCACATGCATTTTGCAGGAGCACAAACAGTCTATTGCAGGCATATAGCCAGTCTTTGCCTTTGAACGGTCTGGCCAGGGGACCAGTGATCTTAACTACTGGAAACAAGTCACTCTTTTTTTTTTTTTTTAATTGACTTCAGAGAGCGGGAGAGAGAGTTGGAAACATCAATGATGAGAGAGAATCAAACTGGGAGTCGAACTGTGACCTCCTAGTTCATAGGTTGACGCTCAACCACTGAGCCACACCTGCTGGGCAACGTATCACTCTTGGTAAGGCTCCTTTTGTCAGACCAGCTGCAGGAGTCTGGGTGCCCTCTGCCCACAACAGGGCACTTCCCTCTTCTGCCTCTTCTTTCCCTAGACTCCCTGGTCTCCTCACCACCCTCCACTGGGCTGAGGAGCCTCTGGGAGGTTTAGCCATAGAATGGAGATCAATTGATGATGACTGTTACACAGCCGTCTCTCACGCATACTGTCAACTTTTATTGTAATTGAGGTGTAACTTAACGTGCTATAACATGCACAAATCATATCAATCATACAACCTGATGAGATTTTTTAAAGATATATTTTTATTGATTTCAGAGAGGAAGGGAGAGGGAGAGAGAGAGAAACATCAATGATGAGAGAGTATCATTGATCGGCTGCCTCCTGCACACCCCACTGGGGATCAAGCCCCTGATTTCTGACCAGGAATCGAGCCGCGACCTCATGGTTCGATTCTGGGACTTTCTGGTTCATAGGTCGATGCTCAACCATTGAGCCACACCAGCTTTGAATATGTCACACCCATGTTGCCACCCAAAGCAGGGCTTACAAATTCCCTCATGCCCCCTTGAGTTCATCCTGCCCCCAGAGCCAGTCACTGTTGTTGAGACTTAGGGAAGTCATATCTCTGTCAGATCAAAGATTCCTGCTTTTAACTCGTCCAGATCCAAATATACTTGCTCAACAAAAACAAAACCCAGTGGAGATAAAAATAACGTGTTCAATAGCGTGGGCGATCCTGTCATTCCACCCAACTGGCGTCTCTGTTGGAGTGAGCGCGAAAGAGAGACACAGACCTGCTGTTCCTTCTGTCGGTCTTTGTTCCCGTGGCTTTTTAGAACGTGAGCATCTTGTGCCATCGAGTGCCTTTCTCATATTTATAGATTTTAATTATCATGCAACATGGCCCTGGAACCCACGCCAGCGATTTCTCCTGGTGCTCAACCTAAGAAACCAAATTGGATGCTGAAGAAAAATGGGCCTTGTTGGACTTCAATGGGAGATGGGTTTATCAGTCTCCATGGTGAGACCTTATTATGGGATTTTTCAAGGCGAATTTTGACGCCTTTCCATTTTCATATTACACTAGTGATCTATTGCACGAAATTGCGCGAGACCCGGGACCTGCCCCCCGCTCCCCTGCACCATGGAACTGCCTCGAGTCCTGGAGTGCCGCCTCGATGCCCCACCTCTGGGCCTCGTGGAGCAGCTGCTGGGCCCTGTCCCTGCTGCCCTGCTCCCGCTATGTGTGCCGCCATCTTGTGACAGCGTTACAGCGTGAGGGTCAATTTACATATTACCTCTTTATTATATAGGCTGCTGACTTTAGAAGGTAACCCTTGAGTAAGAGGCAGCTGTGATGTGGAAAGAACTCATGTGGGTAAGAGGTTATTACAGATTGGGTGACTTGGAACATGTGACAACATGGTGGACGGTGCTGATTTGCGTGAGTCCTTCCTGATATGAACGCAGAGTTGACTGAAATATACAAATCATATCCCAGGAGCTCATCAGAAAGGGAAGTCTATGGGTGTCAAAAATGAAGAGAGAGCCCTAGCTGGTTTGACTCAGTGGGTAGAGTGTCGGCCTGTGGACTGAAGGGTCGGCTTTGATTTTGGTCAAGGGCATATGCCGAGGTTTGGGGCTTGATCCTCAGTAGGGGGTGTGCAGGAGGCAGTGAGCCGGCTGGAACTGGTGAGCCAGCTCCAGCACCCCAGAGGCTGGGTTGTTTGTTCTCGTTTCAACTCTGACCTTTGGATTGGGCATCCAGGTGTGGAATTTTCAGGAGTAGGAATGTCACGTGTGATATCACAGGGGCAGGGAGAGACAATGGGGCAAGAGTGGAGCTCTGCCCCCTTCCTTCCCTTGTATTAAAAGTCACTCTGTGTGTAAATGTGGATGGAGAGACTGTTACACTCTGGGTGACAGTGGAAACGAGCACAACATCTTCCCAGAGCAAGTCCGTGCTATCTACCAACATTCGAGTGCATTGTGCCTTCTGACCCTGCAATTCCATGTTAAGGATTTTATCTTGTAAACCCCACCTGCCCTGTAGTTGCCCATGTCTGTGCACATGCGTGTTTATTGCAGCATGTTTGTTAATAGCAGACCCTGGGAGCAGCTGCAATGTATGTTCCTTGGGGACTAATGGACTGAAACATGGTATCTTCTTACTGTAGAATACGGGGCCACTGTTTAAAATAGCAGGTTGTATATGCTCAAAAGGAATGCTCTCCAGGTTACTTTTTTTTAGTTAAAAAGAGGGCAGTATGCATATAAGTGTCTGTGATATACCCCTGTGTGTGAAAAAAACAGGGAGGTATACATGCTTACACACACACACACACACACACACAGATGCGTGGTGATGCATGGGCTCTGGCTAGAAAGAACCAAGAAGTGGGAATGCTGTTTACCTCTTTGGAGGAAAAAAGGATTATGGGTCTAAGATGGAAGATATCTTACTGTACATCCTTTTATACTTTGAATTTTTAAACATAAGCATATAATATATAAAAAGCATATAGTTGCTTTTGTTGTTGTTGTTAAAAACAAACTAGTGCTCAGCAGTTGAGCGTCCATCCAGGAACCAAGAGATCACCAGTTCAATTCCCGGTCAGGGCACATGCCTTGGTTGCCGGCTCAATCCCCAGTAGGGGGCGTGCGGGAGGCAGCCGATCAGTGATTCTCTCTCATCATTGATGTTTCTCTCTCTCTCTCTCCCTCTCCATTCCTCTCTGAAATCAATAAAAATTTTTTTAAAAACCCAAACTAATTACCAAAAAAACTGTACTTTGGGAGCTTTCAACATGAAAGCCCTTCTTATTTTTAGACGAGATGGGCAGGTCTCCGTGATGTTGCTAAACCGCAGCATTTACTGAGCATGTGCCAAGCACCGGGCACTCCGGCATGGTCTGGTCCTCAGGTGCCCATGCCCTGTGACTCTCTCCTTCGCTCGGCCCTGCCTGGACCCCTGAGCTGCCCAGTCCAGGTATGAGAAATGATAACCCCATTTTCACGAAGAGGGAAAGTCAAGTCTTGCAAAGTCGCGTGTCGTGCAAGTAGAGAAGTGGAATTCAACAGCCGTCTTAGACGTGTTTTAGAAATGGGGGCCACGGGGCTGCCTTTTAGACGTTCAAGTTACTGGGATGGCATCTCAAGCCTTTCTCCCGCCTGCCTCGCATCCCTGCCACCTCTCTCGAGGCCCCACGGGCGTGTTCTGTCCATATTAACTTTCCCGAGGGTGCGCTTGTTTGCTCTGGACAGTTGGAGCTGTGTTGTTGGACCGAATCAATCGCTGATGTGTTTTGAAACCGCAAAGGCAAGGAGACTTTGTCCTGCGGCGGCCTCCTTTTCTGACTGACTTTGTCTGCACAGCTGTCCTGTGGAGTGTGCACCATCAAAGGTCTAGGAGACGCGAGCTCTGTTCACTTGAAAAGACTGACCTTGAGGGCCTTTCTCAGCAAAATAGATGTCCCCGGGGTGCTTCTGGCATTGTCATTGTTGTTTTCTGCCATTAGCTGCGTTGCTCACCCGTCACAACATGTTTCCTGGAACCAGAGGCTCTCTCTCTCCTCTCCCTTTTCATCGTTTGGTAACAAGTTCAGTAAGTAGGTTATTCATCTTGCAAAGATGTTGTTATGATTTGACCAACCGTAATCCAAATGGGCGAGAAAAGGGGAGTGAAAAATGAAGTTCCTAGAGTCAAAATCACCAACACTCACCTGAGCATGACTT